CTCCTCGACTGGCTGCACATACACATACACATGCATTCACATGCACTCATACCGGGTACCTAGCACTTGCTCAAAGGATGCAAAGGACGAGGCGCGGCGTTTGGAGTTGAGAAAAAAGCTTTGAGCAAATAAATTAAAACAAGTCCAAAACAAATTTGAAACATAGAAAAAAAGAGCAAAGAAAACCAGCAAGTGGGCACTTGACGAGCAGGTCGGACTAATACGTACCCTGTAACAAGCAATCGATCTATTCGAAAAGGTAAATATTCAATTAGTATACTATATAAGTATCCATTATCCATTATCCATAAAACATCGATATTTATCGATAATATGGAAATGGGCGTGATATTAAAAAAAATGTACTATAATTTTATTGCATGTGCAATGGAATAAATAATTAAAATTTCAGGTCCTTGGCTCTCAGAGACGGACTGAGAGACGGACATAAAGATGCTCTCTGCTGCATGCCGCATACACACATATTATCCATTTTCAATGGCTACAGGGTATAGAATGGAAGAAAATGGAAAAAATATGTAGAGCGAGGAGTAGCGCGAAACGTATGCAAGGCATTTGCGCCCAAAAAGTTGTTATCCTTTGGTTGTGATGATGCCCTGAAACTAACCAGCGACGAGACGAGCACAAGACTGTGCCGAGCGAGACGAGTGGCGGGAGGATGGGTTGGGGGCGTGGCAGAGGCGAGGACATCCGCTCGTTCACGCTCAAGCTGTGGAAGATTGCTTAAAGTTTTATTGGTTGTTGTTTGCAAAGCAAAAACTTTACTTTTGCGCGCTTTTCTAACGGTACACAAACTGCCAACAACTAAATGGCGAATGTGTGGCAAAGTTGCCTCTGGTTTCTGCCTCCGCCTGAAGCCAACAACGCCGGCTGCCTCCTGCGGGCCCAGCGGCTTGCAGTTGATGCCTTTTGCTTTCATTTTGCTGCTGTTGATTCTTGTTGTTGTTTTTTTTTTTTTTTTTAGCTTTGTTGCCCTCGTCTTTCTTTCCTTGAAGCTTTCTTTTTCTTTCCCTTTTTTTGAAGTGAACAATTTTGTGTTGTTGAAACTGAAACCGAAACTGAAACTGTCGTTAGTCAGTCCGTCAGATAGGAATGGCATTGGAGAGCAAGCGAGACAGCTGCCAGAGCGGAAGTCGTCACAGCCCCAGAAATGGCGCTGTTCAACGTCAAGTTGATGTTCAAGTGGATGCTGAAGTTTTTACCCGCTCGACTTGAGGTCATCATCGACATTTATGTCCAACAACGTCGCATTGACTGCGTGTAATTTTCATAAACAAAATAGTTAAGCATCCCAACAAGTTGTCGAATAGCCCGCTATTGCCTGTTCCCGTCCCGTTCCGGCGCCCGGCGACCGGCCATTTCAACCGGATAGCCTGTGCCCAAGCAGAGCTGTCAATGGGCAGTATAAATTGTTTGCAGCCAACAGCAAAGTGGCTGAAAGCTGTCGACTGCTCATAGATTTAAGCGCACTTCAAGCTAATGAGTTTGTGTCAAAGTTGCAACATATTGTGGCAACAATGCAGCAGCTGAAAGTCGCAGCTAAACAAAGTGCTCTATCAATTAATTATTGTGCAAATAGTATTCAATATGTATTCATAAACAGCTTAAAGTGGCACCTCAGCATTCGATTAAGCTTGCCACAAACAAAACGGCTTTTCTTGTCCCAATTTGAAAAATTAACAAACTTGAGAAAAAAACATTGATTTTATTTCTTGAATAATACTTATAATTTAATATGAATTAAACCCAATTCTATTGAAAAGTGTTAGAAATAAAACAAGAAAGAACCAAAAAAGGAAAACGAGCCGAACTTCAAGGCGAGATTCGAATCGTGAGGGAGGCCAGAGAAAAATCATCAAAGTGCTGTTAAAGCTACTTTTTGAATAGTCTGCTTAAACTTGATGTTGTGTAAGAGGCTCCTTAATTAATTAACAACACACTCGTACTTTGTACTTTTGACTTTGGAGCCTCACAAAAAATGCAACAATGCTCGAGTCTGGGCATTGCGAAATGCTTGTGCAGCCTTTTCTATTAATTTGTTTTGTGTAATAAACGCAGTGTTTAAATTCATAAGTTATGGATACATTTAACTGCTGTCATTTGATTCATTTTGGCACAAAATGCTTCGCACACACACACACACACACGCACGCACGCACGCATACTTGTTTAGCCGCCAGCCGAATAACAGTTTATTATCCTTTTCATTAGTGGAGCACAAAAAGACACAGACGGCTCAAAGGCTGGCCAGCCACGCCCATCTAACCCAAGCACGCCCACACACTGTTCGCTTTAGCGCCCATGCAGTGGCACTTAATAGCAGCACACAAACACAAACATACATCCACACACACACACACACACACATACAGGCACACACGCACGCACACTCAAAACATGGTGAAAGTTTGTGCGAACTTTTTACACACAGTCTGCTTTAGCATGTGTGAGTGGGTGTGTGTGTGTGTGTGTGTGGAATGTCATTGGCGGAAATTGAAACGCACATGACAATCCATTTCATCAGCAGTTTAGTTGCTTTTAGAAAATTTGCTGGCCAGTGGTCTCGAGTAGAGTAGGTGGACTCCCGCGCGCCATGTCCTTTCACTGCTGGCGCCACACACTCGCAGACTCCAACACACGCACACACACATACACAGGCACTGTGATGTGATGTGATGCGAGTGGCAGCCACTAAGCCAAATCAACAAAAATCAACATTTCAACAACAAAGTCCTTGACTGTTAAACTTAACCGGACAGGACACGAGCAACCGGCTACAGACATAGCCACAGCCACAGCCATAGCCGCAGCCGTGAGCCAGAAACAGAAACAGAGACAGAAACGAAGACAGAGATCGAGCTGGAGCTGGCGACGGGGACGAGGCACGAGGTACGAGGAACGGTCGATGGGGACAAACTGACTGGGCTGGCACCCAAAAAGACAACGACGACGGGCATAACAACTCTCAGCAGACAGACAGACAGAGGGACCGGAGAGACAGACTGTGCCGATAGACAGGACATGCCATAAAAGAGCGTAATAGAAAAACTGTGTCTGCCTGACGCAACTTGGGGCCATAAGCCCCTTGCACGAGCACATTCAAATACTTATGTAGCACATATTCATATGAGCATATACCCTCGCACTTACACACACACACACACACACACACGCACACACACACAACGTCAGTCAATATTTTGCATTTGCTGCTTCAAAAAGGGGTGCAAGAAGGCAAAGCAAAGCAAGGCAAAGCAAACTGAATTGCAAAGAAAGCAAAAATAAAAGAAAAATCAAAATCAAAATGTATGAAAATGTGAAAATGGGAAAATGGCGTGCAATGAGCCTGGCAACAATAACAACACACAAATTACATATGCTCACAAATACTTAAGCGAACTTTTTTGCTCCCCCTGTCTGCGGCTGGTCGTTATACTGAATGACTACAGCAGTAACAACAACAACAACAACAACAACAACAACAACAACAACAACAACAACAACAACAACAACAACAACAACAACAACAACAACAACAACAACAACAACAGCAACAATAACAGTAGCAGCAATATTAGCAACAACAAGAAGCACACACATTTCCTGATTAGTTTCTGCGACAAATCAGGCGACATTTCTACCAAACCCAATCTCAGCCTTAGACGCACACACACACACACAATCACGGACACACATTCACACTCGAAATATCATTTCGAGCTCGCAATACGCAGTTTGCATGTTTGAGCTTGATATGTCGACAAGGCGGAGCAACAGCAACAACAACAAACAGAACGTTGTAGAAAATTTTGACAACAAAGCAAAGCCAAAGGTCGAGCATATTTACAAGAGTTGACAGCTGACACACAGAGACGAACATACATATTTAAGAAGCTGTCAGTTGATATTCCCAGCTATATTGCACATATAAATATATACGTATAGTATGAAACATATACGCAGCCAACGAATGGGGACAGTCAACTTGAAGGCAACGAACCCCCGAAAACTCCCCGAAACTCCAACCGCAACTACTGCAAGCTGTTTCATGTGCAATAAGCCATCTATTGGTTATTCAATACTTTTTAATTGAAAATTCAATGGCATTGCCCAAATGCAATGTTTATAATAGACAGTAGACAGACACACACACATACACACACACACACACGCGCGCGCGCACAGCAAAAGCATGTAATAATTCAGCGATGTGAACCGAAACGAAACAAAATAATCACAAAATCGAAATAACGAAAAATATAAAGAAAAAATATTCCTGGAATTTCATGTTATTTTCAATGGATTGCAACTGGGGGTAGCATCAAATCAAATATTGAATAGCACACACAACTGCTCAAAGGATAGCCAGTAAGATACTCATTAAGACATGTAAATATGGGAACAATAGCGCAGGCAGAAGCCAACCCTTGGACCCTTTGGCCAATTGTGAAATGCGGCAAGAGCCAAAAGAAGAACTCAACTGAGGAATTTAATTAAGCAGCCCTCTAGACATGATATGAATCCCTTTGTTATATCCCAGCTTCTACGGACAACCACATACTAAGCGAGTTTTTAATTTCAAAACAGTTTGGCATTAAATGCCAAGTTGACCAAAGAATATAACACAGCTTTTTGTCTGACAATGTCCATTTGTGAACATTTTTGGCAACCGTTTGCCACATTTCGTTGATGGAAATTTCCAACAAATTCACAAGCTCAGATAAATATAAAAGAAAAGAAAACGACCATCGGCTCGGTTCAATGGTAAAAACTGTTTTAGGACTTATGGCTTTGTCAGACTGAGTTAATTACGATGCCAAGAAGGCATTAATTCAGATACACTCATGGTCAAAATAATAAGTACGCATGTATGCATATGTGAATTGTTAATTATCTACTCGCCAGAAACATACTTTTTGGCATACCAGGCACGCCTTGACTTAGCTGTCTGAGTCAGCAGCATGTTTGTAAACACATTTCAGATTTCATTCTAGCTCCAATTCGTATACACAAACATACATACAGACAAATAAATTTTATTTTTTTGTGTAATAAAAGGGAAATTCTTGAAATATTGCAACGTAAGTGCAGAACAATTGTCAAAAAACCCGCACACTTTCTCAAACATACCTCTTCTCACACTAAGCACAACCGATGGACAACAATAGAAGTGGCGAGGCCCGTGGATCTGGTTGGCTTAAGAGAAAACATAGTGGAGACGAGTGTCTCATAGCTGCAAAGAGACCGAAGACATGCCGTAATGCTGAGCGTCCGCCTAAGTTGCAATTCCTACAATCCTGGTTCCATTGCAATAGCTATGCTGCTGTTCGAAACCGCAATAAGCAGCGACTTTAGACATTGAAGCATTCACATTTGTATAACAAACGTTGCATATTTTGTAAAAATTAATTGACGTGAGTGAACGTTACAATATATTTTGAAAATTTTAAACGGGTTTTACTAATTTGCAGTGTTCAGTTGTTGCATTTGTGAAATCAGCATTAACTATTCTCATACTCTGTGGGTAAAAAGAGCTCGAAAGTATAGTCAAACGTATAAATGAATATAAATATATTCTTGATCAGGACGACGAGCTTCTTCGATCTAGCCGGAACTATTTGTCTTAAGAATTGAAATGCTCTCCCTAGATTATACAAATACTTCGTTTCTATGATTCCTCCGCCAATTGCCAACGCACTTCTGAAGCTGTAGATCTAGCATGACATAGTTTGATTATTTATTCTGCTATCCGGCTAGCCAGGTCCCACTTTCCGCCTGCCACGAACTGTTTAATTTTACAAAGAAAATATATGGAAGACCAGGACCGAAAAATATAAAAACTTTCATCAAAGTTAAGTGAAGCCAAAAGCGAAATAAAATCAAATAAAAATTAAACGACTTTTTGGCGGGAAGCTTTAGTAATATCTTAATAGTATATTTAAACTAAAGGCCATGTGCAGCTCAGATTACAAATTGATATTCCACGTATTGCCTCAAGTCAAGGAATACTTCAATTGAAGATTCGTTTATCTGTAAAACGCTTTAAAGCCCGCACCTGCGACCACCTGCCTAAACAACACTCAACGTTGTGTTGAAGCGCATTGAAAAGTAGGCGGCGGCTGCGATTGTGGCAATTGGAGTGAAACATTTATGCGCGCCGCATGTAGGCCGCAACAAATACACCTGGAAATTGACGCCCGACAACGCATGTGTCCGCCCAAAATGACCACTGGGGCCGGGCATGAGGCATCAGCTGATTTATAAATCATACACAAACCCAACCGCACACACACACACACACCCACACACACCTACAATTGCAAACATGTGTCAATTTGTCAAAGGCTGTCGACTTGACTGGACATCCCCAATGTGGAATGGTGGCCTCTGGGGAATGCTGGGCTGTGGGCATGGTATAGAAAACGTGCAAAATTCTTGCCAAGGAGGAGCACGCGCGAATGAATTTCTGCTGGCGTATGAATTTTTTACGCAAACACACAATTGTGAGTGTGTGTATCTGTGTGCGTATGTGTTTGTGTGTGTGCCTACGTCAGCATTTGATAACGAACTAAAAGAATAACAACAACGACTGAAGCACAGCTAGGCAGATGAACAGCAGCAAGCCAGCCAGCCAGCAGCTTTTTAAAGTTGCAAAGGCTAAACTCGGACTCGAATCGAGCAAAGAGGTTGGTTGTGCAGGGGGTGGGGGGGAGGCAAAGGGGCGTGGCAGCATTACCTAATTGTTATGATGCGAATGGCGGCGCGATGCTTGGCAGAAAGACAAAAGTAAAATTCTAGACGCGTTTTGGCCACACAGCAAGGACGTGGCCAAGCGGCGAAATGAAGCCAAAAGGTTTTGAATAAAACTCAGCAAATTATAACGGAAACTGGGCGCGAAATGAGGCAAGCCAGCAGCAAACGACCGGCAACAACAACAAGTAAGTGGAAATAAGTTGTTCAACTCAAAGTGGAAAATGGCAGGCAATAACCAAACAACAGCAACGGCAACGGCAACAACTGAAACTGAAACACGTGGCAAATGGCAAATGGCGGCGCTAAAACTTGGGACAAATTAAAATGGCGGCTTTAAGGGGCCTGGAATAAGCCGCAAGTGTCTGGTCGGGCGGCAAATAGGAGCAGCGGGCGCCGCTAAAATGGGCCACTGAAAGTTTTTATCAGCGGCAAACGCTGCGACGCAAAGCATCAAGAAAGTTGCGCAAGGTGAAAATGACAACGTGGCTGCCAACTAATTCAAAAGCGTGTTAAAGACGAGCTCATTAATATGCCATAGAGCGAGACAGCCAGCTGGGTGGGGGCGTGGCCAAGAGCAGCGGCACTCGGCTGTGGCAAAAAAAAAAAATGTATTGAGAAAGAAAACAAAAAACGTTCACACAGGCAGGTGCAAAAAGGTGCTGCAAACAATTAATGCCTGCGACAGACAGAAAAGGCGCAGCAGCAAAACTGAAAATTAAAAACAAATTAGAAAGCTTGTCAAATGCCGCAGCCTCTACACCCACTGCGACCACCCCCCCAATGCCCCACCCCTGGATCAGGTTATGAGCGCATCAGGCCCATGACCATGACAAAAATAATAAGTGAGCGGATGGCAACCACAAGACCCCAAACTAAGCACAGCCTACAAAATGTCAGCCCAAAGTAGATGGCAAAGCAAAAAAAGACCAACTTTGCAATTTACACTAATTCTGCCGAGCAAAGCCGGGCAGCGGCGGGGGAGCAGCGGTGGTAACCTTATGCCTACACAGCTGAAAAGCTGGCCGCACAGTTGGCGGGCAACGGAAAGTGAAAGAGCTTTTAAAATCCTGACGCGCTCAAAAGTAGGCAAAGTAAACAGCTTGGGACGCTCTTTAAGGGGCGCGCCCTTCAAGTTGTGAAGTTTAGTGTAATCACACTGGCCTACAGCTATGATGATATCATGGCCAGCGATGGTAGCTTTATAAATGAGAGATTTACAAGCTGAAAACATTTAACTCATTTGCATACGCCTAATACGTTTTCTGCCTGGAGCTTTTGATATATTGTGAATTGCGTTTAATTAAATTGTGAGCTAGCTGCAATTCAAGACTTAAAGTGGTTTTGCAACACTAATCAAATCAGTGTTGCCCAAAATGCAAATCTTAAAGTGCTTTCCTGCACTGCTGAAATGAATGTTGTCCAAAAAATGAAATTCAAATCTTAAGCTTGTTTCTCAACACTAATGAAATCAGTGTTCAGGAGCTGAAATTCAAGGCATTTCCATCACTGGCACTTTTTACTAAATCGTACAAATGTATACAAAAATCATTGTGGTTATTTATTTTAGTAACAAACCAGTGTTGCGCATCAAATGAATATGGTCATTAAAGAGATTATCAACACTTTCTTTGCTACTCTCCAGATAACTGGAGATCCATTAGTCAACTGCTCCAAGTCATTACCAAATGTAAAAAGTAACAAGCTTGAGACCCGAACAAAATACTTGCTTCAACTGAGCATTAATCAAAACATGTTTAATCCCGAGGCTAAATCAGTTCTTAGTACTCCCAAACTATATTCAGTCGGAATGTGTGTGGCTTTTTTTTTTTTTTTAAGATATTTATTTATGAGTATGTGACCCATGGTATGGTATGGTCGGACTTATTGTAACTGCCCAGGCTTGAGCAAATATGCCAAAAATGTTAAAACAAAGTCGAAATTTCGTTTGTACATAAAACGTTGCAAGCACAAAGCAAAGTCCACAGCGCAAGAGAAAGGACGTGGAGAGGGGCAGGGTGATGGGCGTTGGCAAAACCCAAGGAATAATATTAAAGCAGCTAATAAAATTGCTCTCATTAAAGCAAAGCCAACTGCCTTTTGGCTAAAAAGTAATAAAGGTTAACAAAAAAAAGAAGGAGAAGAAAAACAGAAAACCCAAAACAAAACAAACCGCCTCTGCAGAATGGCAAGTCTCTCTATCTCTCTCTCTTTCTAGTCTCTACAGCCCTCTCTCACTCTGTTTCTCTGGCTATCTCTGCTTGTGTCTCGGTTGCTTGGGCTCGTTATGAGTTCCAGTATATAGCCAGCGGCGGGGCGAACCAACAAGAGCAGTTGGAAAATCAAAGAAAAGAGCGCACCGCAATTGCGCCACCAAAAGAAAAATCAAAAGTACAGAACAGCTACAGCTGTGTGTGTGTGTGTGAGAGTATGCGTGTGTTGGCGTGTGTGTGCATATGTACTGTAAGAGCCTACAAGAAGATTCCATTTAAAGGCAGACCAGCCCTCTGAATGTCCTTGCCGAATGTGTTGCACACATGTTGCCATGAATACCAAATGCAATTCAGTGGCAACTCTAAAGGTGCAGCCTCTGCCGCTGCTGCACGTTACACTTGCCGAAAGTCAAGTTGAAAGACAAGGCCGAGGGTCAACTGCGGCTGCCGGACTCATGAATGGAAGGAAAACGTGCAAGGACACCAGCCAACAGCCAACAGCCAACATCCAACGGCCAACGGCCAACGGCTACCAGCCAGCGGCAATGACCAGAACGTCAGCCCAGTGCCGTGCAGCCCGCACACAAGATTATTCAGCCGGCGGGCAAGCGACCAAAACGCACACAAAAGCACAAACAGACGGAGACGCGGAGCGCGGAGCTGCAAATGGGCGGACAAACGGGCGGTCCTGAGCGGTCGCAGAAGGGGGGGGGCTGCAGCCGAGGCAGGGGCAGAGCAAACAATAGCAGCAAGAACTTTGAGCAGCAAATGCAAACGGAAACAAGAAAATGTTTATTAGGCGAGAATATTTGGCTATAAGATACCCTGTAAGCAGTGCCGAGCTGCCAAACACTCAAACTTTCTTCTGTGCTTCTTTTGCTTTGCATTACATACAATGTAAAATGCATTCTTCAATAACTTCGGTGCTAATAGTTCAGTCTTTATTAGAAGTTCCAGGGTTCGTATACTTAAGCACAAGGCTAGAAATCCAAAAAGAATTTATTCCTTCACTTCCTTCACCAAGCGGAAGCGTCTGATTATACTAATATCTTGCTGTCCGGCTTGAGGCCAGTGTTGGCTTATATTTAATAATCAGGTTGTCTATATAGCTATTTCGAGAACCTCTCTCTTTTTTTATCAGCAGAGGATTGCACACGGTTTGTCTTTCTGTCAAGGCTTTAACCAGTTGAGAATTACAAGACGTGCAATCAGTTTTCTGTGTGTTTTTTTATAAAACTAAGTAGTGTGGGTCTAAAAGATACGATATAATGTATACCTAACATCTTGCTTCAAGTTCTTATAATCTTCAGGATATCCTTAAATGAAATTAAATGAATTTGATATCTTAAGCTCTTACAGTGCGACGGACATACTGACAGTCCTTGGGCATTCCTTCAGATTAAAAATCTGTCAGTAAGAAATAATCACGCAAAACGTATATACCATTTTAAAAAAATTGTGAGGGTAATATAGAAAATGTTAGTTAACCTCGCCTTGCCCCAGCTTGTATATAGCATACAGCT